GCAAATTTTCTGAATAAATCTTTTCTTTGAATACGTCCATTAGGGCCGATGGCTGATTCGTCAGCTTTTATGTTACGAACGTAAGGCTAACGAAGTATAAAAATCGATGTAACAAAGTCTAGAAAATAATTTATGAGATTGCGTTGTGCAAACGCGTATGTCGCTCTAAATAATATAATTGTTCATTGATATCGATTCTATCTTACGATACGGTAACACCCGCGGGCAATATCCTCGCTGAAGTAGAACAGAAGCATATTGCTTGTCACGATACCCTAACGTAATGTGTATACGTATATGTACTGCTTCAGAATTGTGGTTTGGCAATTTGGCGCCATATGTGAAGCCAAAAGTGGCTCTTCTACAGTAACAGGACACTCTAAATTAATTCAATATTTGTGACGTTTAACCACTGTTTTCCAATCGTAGCATTATGATCGAGTAATAATTTTATTCAATAAAATTCAATAATGGCGATAATTGACATTCTTTCGAGTTGAATCATGTACCTTTCTCTTAAACGATGTACGCTGGTTATTACGTCTGTCAACTACTAGGAAATTTTGTAAACAAAGAGAGATAATTTAATTTATGGCTTGTATAATTGTCTTTTTCTCCTTTCCATCTACTTTCACTGAATAACAGCATTTCATTTGCCATTGGAACATTGAACAGTTTACATAAACAAAATGAAATATCCAGAGCGATGAATGAAGTTCTGAATTTAGCACGTATCACGTAATGCTAGCATGAATCTGTCATTACAATGCGTTAACACGCATCGAGTATGTCAATACACATGCGATGGTTAGCAACGGAATGCAAACATATTCAATTTAACCGTATGAGATACAGCTTTTAAGTATACTCATAATTTTCGTAATGCGTAATCATTTTCAAGTCTTACTATCGTCTCTTCGTCGCAATTTCCAAATTATTTGAGCAACGAGTATTTATTTGTAATTTTCCTGCACAGTGCTAACTGTGCTAACTGTGCTAACTAACCCCTTTGAGGGGAGGATCCTTTCTTTTTGTCCAACAAACTTTCGATTCCCATAAGCCTTTTACAACATATTTATTCCTCTACGTAGAAACTAAATTAAATTTGACGACGTACGAAGGGACTACGTTAATTTTTTTTTTTTTTTTTTTGCAAGGATTTTACTTGGAAGTACCATAACAGTGCTAAAAGCACAGCTTCCAGAACTCCGGCGGTAACATCAAATTAAGGAAAGTAACCTGACGTGGGCGTAATAAGACGGTAGACTGAACCGCATTCGAACTCAACTGGAGACTGAGAAAAGGATTCGTTTGCTTTTCCTATCCTACAGCGCTTGTATGATGTAAATTGTCTAGGCTGTATAAATATACTTTTAAACTACTATAATTGTACGAATAATTATTCGAATTGCCGGAGCTAAATTTGCAGAACGATTAATACGAGAATCTCGCGTAAAATGAGTTCGATTATATCGTCTAAACCGTTATTGTATTTGGAGTATAAGGTAATCTCCTTTCCCAGAACATAATCGAAGCTATTTGAATACCACTCAAGTTCTCTGTGCACTACCATAGAAACCGTATGAAGCGCCAAATCCTCGTAGAAGAAACTTAAAACCTAGTTTACGGAGATCGTTCCCGTATGAAATTAACTATTGAAACTACTCTCCGTCTTATGAAACAATTAACCACATTTGTGGTTCTATCTCATGGGCTTTGGTTGAATTAAAGAAAAATCTACAGACGTTCTTTTTCGCGATTTAATAAATTCAATTCGATAATTGCATAAAGTCTTAGAGTTTGGTAAGAATTTCCTTCCCATAGACGCAGGAACATCCTTAATAAAATTATACCACTTTTATCGGATTCTTACTGTCGTAAATGTATTAGCTGCAATAGGGATTCATTCCATGTCTTCCATGCCAAATCACTTTTGGGATGTCCTAAATTCAATCTGAACCTTCTTGGGTTCCGAACCCCTGCTGGCCTCAAGCCATAAGGCACAGCACGCCTATTCTATCACTGATCAATTCGAAAAAGCGCAATAAATTTTCATGAAATCATTCGCCTTATTCTCTTAGTCCGTTTCATAATATATGGAGACAAGAGTTACGCGAATCTATGTAATCAAAACATGTTTTGCAATTCGTTGAAAACTTTAGCTTTAAGGTAAATTGCAAGAAAAATTATCGATATATATTAAATAGAAATTATCGATCAAGTTAGAATAATATGAATTATCAATTTCTTTTCTTAAACGCAAAATCGAAGATTCTCTAATTAATTTCATCGGACAACGATAAAATAATCCGTTGCATCCGTAAGATGCCATTATTTCCTTTGCATTCTTAGTGGCAGAAACGTGGCTAGCAATAAGTACAGAAGCTTTATTTCGCAAGCACGTTTCCCGTCTTTCTGGACCTGATACGAAAAGAGCCTCGTGAATCGATCGTTGTCGCCCTCGTCATCGAGCAAGCGTTACTGGTAGCAGCCCCTTTAAGACGTTGACGCCTCGTTGAAAGAGAGAAGGGTTGGGATGGGAAAAAGCGAGAAAAAATGAAGGAAAGGTGAGACAAGTCAGATAGGGATGAAATAACGACTCAAATAATGGGAGAAAATATGGAAACACACGCGTATTGTCGACTGATTTTAGGTTTGGAAGGGTAGACAAACGATTGTAATAGTTTATTAGAAGAAACATTATAGGTATAAGTGGTACAAGAAGAATACTATCACAGAGGTAATGCAAGACATAAATATCGTTAATTATGCATTAATGCACACATTAATTATGTAATTAACGCACAGAAATGAATGAATGAATGAATAAAGGGAAGCAAACGAAGTACGTGTTAATTAGTTTAATTAGAATTTTTAAGAATATAATTGAATATTGAAATAGAATTGGAAAAAATAACAAAGGCAGTTATGAAAAGAATTTCAAAAATACACGTCCGCAGCGCAAAAATAATATCGGTCTTTTCATTCGTATGGTCTTTCTACACATTTACTTGCTGATGTTGGCGTCCTGTTATTATGAAATTCCCATATTTCCTTACGAACCTTCATACTCTTCGTAGAAACGATCGAAACATGGAAAAGGATCAACAACAAAACGGAGATCTCATAAGAAGCGTATCGTAAAGGTCAAGTTAATGAAAGATATCAATACAGTGGACGTGTTTTCAACTGTTCCATCTTCTTTAGAAAATTGGACCTTTTTAGCAAAATTTAAAAAATCGTAAATTAATAAAAATATGTAGAAAATCGTATACGATATATATTAACTGTGGAAACGAACCCTTTCCATTTTCCAGAAAAATCGGAGAGAATTCATTTCTACATCTAATAAACCACGTTCGTCATTCATATTTTACTCCTCGGTATTTTATAATTTTGAGAAAGAATGCGAGAAAAATGTTCGTAAGCATTTCTATAAAAATGTTATTGCTGAAATATAAAGCATAAAGCGTTACAAGAAGTTTCAAGCGAATAACTCGATTTGTTCTTTTGTTTTTACTTTTTAATTTCAGAAAACAATACTATTATCCATTTTCTGCTGTAGGTGGATACCACGATAGAACTACAAAGGACGCAATTAAAATACTGAACTCCTTTGTTTCTTAAAGGGTTCAAGCAAACAGTTGTCTGTTGATCCTTAACTCATCGACGACTGCACGAATTTACGAAAGATCGATGTCGATGGATATATCGACAAACGTTAGTCTCTCAGTAACTACTTCGAACCGCTTTTACATTTAGACAACGATTCAGACTAAATATGAAAGGGTAAATAGTAAAAGAAATAGTAAAAGAGTAAAATCCGTAACAAAGAAGCTCGCGTTTCTCCACGCAACAACCGCCCGGTTTCTAGAACCGAAGCATCCCTTGAAATCGTTGAAACCCTAATTCCCTCGAAACAAACGAAACATTCACACGTATACATATACGTGTATGTACACACGTAGGTACGCTGATGGAAAAACTAGGCAGAGAAGCAAGTTGGGCAGAAGCAGGTTCGCGTAACCACGGCTGAAAAAGATCTCACGGAACCCGGACGAATGCCCCGCAGCCTGTATCGTTCCGCGGCATCCACGGCTATAGATATACCGTATAGAGCGAGAAAGGCAGAAACAAAGGGACATCACGAACGTAAACTCCCAAAAAATCGGTGCTCTCGCAGAACCCGAAACATCCACGTCCCCGTTCGTGTTTAACATGCAGTTTTTTATCGTGGTCGTGGTCGTGGTCATGCCCATCGTCTTTAGTCGTAGTCATGACGAAGATAGTGGCGGTTGTAGTGACTACCCCAACGCATACGCACTCGGGGCTTTGCGCGCGCCACTCGTCCCACCACTGCGCCCTGTCTACACCCCCACCCCGCCC